TATCCAGAATCGAAACTCAATTACGCTTTTTTATTTCGATTACTTTGATGTAAATATGTCGTCGGTTTATCACTTCATAAAACTTTATGTAGTCAACAAAAGATTAAAAACTTTATTCAGTAGAACTGTCGCTTTCCGGGCCGGCAAGTTCTTGAAAAATTTCTAGGCAAGGAGAAGTGTTTGAATTCGTCATAAAATTTATTAAAACGAGGTTTACTTGGAATGGGAATGTGGATTAAGAATCCGATTCTTGAGCTAAGTTCCTGCGTTTATCAACATAAAAGAATCCGAAAATTTGTAATTTGCAATGAAGAATCAGATTCATCAAGTGGAGCGTTTGATCCTCTAACCACTTTTCCATTCCTTTTTCAATTCTTTGATTTTCCCTATTGCGAGTGGGAAATTATGTCATAATAATTTTTGGTTATTATTATTATTATTATTTTATTTATTTTAAGGTTTGGATTATAGATTAAGCAGCAAGCTTTTTTTAATTATGTATTTGTGTGTAAACGCATAAGAAGTCAGAAATTAGAATAATTTCTCACATTTTAATTTAATACACATTTCGTACTAAACACTGGCGAAGCCAAGTACAAGACTTTCTTAGGCTATAATATATGGAGAGTTTTGGATCTTTAAGCTTAAAAATATTAATCTTTGGGCTATTTTAGGAATTTTAATTGTCATATTCTACTTAGCAATTGAAAATTTGGATCTTAAAGCTGCTTTTAAGGAAAATAAAATGTTAACATGGCGTAATTACAATCGTTTAAATATGATCCCTTTCCTTCCATCCTCTCTTCTCACACTATTCTTTTTGTCTTATTTTTTATATAAAAAATTTAAAATAAGATGTAAACGTGGCGTAATTACAATTGTTTAAACATGAATGGATGGAAGAAGAGAGATGGGTTAGAATCCTACTCCCCGACGAATTCACTCACAAATTGACAAGTGGAACAATCTGCCAGAACAGTATATCCAAAAATAAATAATAAAAATAAAACAAAAAGCCCGTCGAGAAAATAATAAAAGATTGGAAATTAATGTCCGTCCGGCCCAATCCACGTGAGTCCTTAAACCCAACGTACTCCGTCATTCAAATTCTCCCCAATTGTCGATCTATCCGCCCATCTTTCCCCCCCTAAACCTCTCTCTCGCTCTGACGTCACTTTCTCAGCTACCTCGTGAGCTCTCTCTCTTCTCTCTTTCTCTCTCTACAATCTGCATCCGTCGTTTTCTTTGACAACCTTCAGATTGCTTACCTTCAAACCCTAAATCTTCACCTTCTAAATGTGAATTTATCAAATTTGTAAAATGTGATTAAACATTTGCTTTCTTTGTTTTGTTCGATTCGTATCGGGAATGGCGACCTCGGCGTTCAAATCAACGACGAAGCGGACGCCGATCGGAGCATCCATAGCTCCGGCGGAAGACTCCGCTTCGTCGAATCGGAAGTCGTCTCACCGGCGCTCCCGGAGCCTGAGCTGCTTCTCGCGCGGGTTGCCGGAGCGGAAGCCGGCGGGAGACGATTACGATGAAACACCGGTTCCCAGCAGAGGGAGGTTTGTCAACACGGTCAGAGGCTCGGGATTCCCGGAGATCAGCCTCGATGACCTCGCCGTCGAGCTATTCGACTCCTCCGCCGACCGAGGCCGCTCGGTTGCGCGGAGCTCCGAAGCTACTCCTGCTGCCAGTGCCTTGCATAGACGAGGGAGGTCGGTGTCGAGGCACGGTCCGAGAGTTGGTGGTGGTAGTGGTGATGTGAGGGGCAGCGCTGGTACTAACTCAGCTGGAGGAAGGGTAGTTTCGGAAAGTAAGGGTATTTCGAGCCGAAGGCGATCGGTTTCGGTTGCTCGGTATCAGATGAGCGATTCTGAGGTGAGAATTTGTGTTCTTATGCTTTTAGTTTCCCGTTGAATTTTGATTTATTTGATTTAATGCACATTGTAAAACGTTTTGGATACTATTTATTTTTAAACTACTGCTAATTCGAATTAAAATTACAATTAGAAATGTGTAATTAAAGATGGTTTAGACAGTATAAGGCCATTGAACAAGTATCGTGATTGAAGGAATTGATATAATGCATATCTTAAACTGTTAAAATTAAACGATCCTTGTTAGCTTTGTCGGATTAGTGTAATTCTACCGCTCATTTATCTGTGAGTTTATTTGTTGTATTTTTAATGACAGAGTGATCTAGATCATACCCACATTCGCAGCACCTCTAAGTCGAGGAACTTCATTAGTGGAAACAATCAGACACCCTTGTCCCGCAAGTCAACTGATTCAAATTTTAGACTGGGATTGAGGAGATCTCTTAGCCAGAAAGATTTTAAGTGCCATGAGGGTTACTCTGTAAGTCTGACTTCTTCAAGTTTTGGTATTTTCATTTTATGCTGTTTAATGTTTTTTGAACTACGTTTTGAGACGTTTTGTTTGGACCTTTCAGAGCCAGTCTTCGGTCCTAACAGATGATGAGGGGAGGGATGCTTATTCCAACAAAAATGGAGTGGAGAAAACTATCCGAGCTGTATATTCAGAGAAGGTTTAATGTTGAACACTTATCTAATGATAACACCCCAGCTGTAGTTCTTTTGTTTTAGTTCTTTATGTTATGATGATGACCGCAGTGTAGCTCATTCATATTAGTCGTTTATTTTTTAATTATTTGTCACCCTTTAGGTAGAGCACCCTGCTGGTAATGATGTTAAAAATGGATTTTATTAAGTAATGCAGAAAGAACTTAGATATGCTGTGGAAGAGATCCGGACAGAACTTGAACTAGTCCGTATTTAGCGTTCTTTATATTGTTGTTGACATTTGTTTCATCCCTATTTGATTTTAGAGTTTTCTCTTCCTGTGTTATGCTTCCTAAACTTGGTTCTATATTATCTTATTCAGGCAAGTGAGAAAACTAAATCTACTGTTTCAGCACCTGGTGATTTACGTTCTAACAGGAAAGATGTACTTCAGGCTGTTTCTTCGATCAGGAAGAATTACTCCTCCAAATTGGAACAGGTATTAACGTTACTATAAAGGCTTAGTTTAGTTAAGTAAGAGTATGGCCTTGATTGTATGGATATAAAGGGCAGATTATTATCGGTTTTTATTGAAGTTGTTAACCGGGGGTGCCAAACTGCCATGTTAATATTTATTATTCTGGGCGAGAATGTTGAATGCAACTACTGTGCATCATATGTCATTTGAAAGAAGTTTGGCTACTAGTACTGACAATCATATTTTTCTTTTTTCCATGTATTGACAGTCAGAAAAACGAAAACAAGATTTATTAGCTGAAATAGTACAGGAGGAACAACATAGTAGGGAGCTCTCTGAGATTGTCAAAGAACTGCTTCCCGAGCCAAAGAACATTGTTGCTGCAGACAGACCATCAAGAACCAGAAGGGTACCATTCTGTCTGAAACACACTGCACATTTACATGTTACTGTGTCTTTCTTCGGATTTATTGTCTTTGTTTTACTTTGTTATTTACCTCCTGCTTTTCACTTTTGCAGAGGAGTAACGACAGAGGTAGAGTGTCTAAGCGACTGACTGAGGAGGCGGAGAGATACATTGAGGATTTCATTTCAAATGTGGAAGACACGGATATATCATCAATTGATGGGGAAAGGAGCGATACAAGTTCAAGCATAGGAGGAATAACAAAGCACGAATCTTATCAGAGTCCAGCTTTGTCTACTCCTCCTCCTGTTGCGATGGATGGAGTTGCACTACCTTGGTTGCAGTGGGAGACTAGTAACGATGCTACTCCAATAGGATGCAAGAAGAAGAACGAACCAAAGGTAATAACTGATTAGCTCATCTTGGGATTATAAGTTCTAGCATCTGGACAGTATTGAAATGCAGTCTTATCTGTCAAATCCGTTTCGACTAATATTGGGATGGTTCGTGATGTTCTCTTCTTATCATTTCGATTTTCAGGGAGTGACAAATGCGCAAGATCAAAGTAATCAATCTGCTAGCAGTCATGGAAGCTGGAGCCCTGGAATAATCAACGCCCTGTCAATTAACATGGAAGATACAGGAAGTAAAGTGGGAGGATATAGAAGCTACGAGTGCCACTCACGCCTCAGTGGGTCAAATGGTTCATGCTTTGACATGGATGAGTATCTCCATCTTAAGAACAATGACGATTTTCTCTTCGAAAGGTTGAAACAACAACAGAGAATTAGTTCCGGCGGTCTCCTGCTATGTAATCGGATGCTTTTTTAGCGCAATTTGTCTCTCAGGTTGCTTTCACTCCATTGTAAACCACAGTGATACTTTGTATAGATTTTTCATTTTCTGCAGTCAAGTGTTTTTAGCTTTGGATTTGTTACAAATATTATGAACCGTCGTCCACGTGATCAGTGCATGCATCTTCCAAGTACGCTTAAAGCACGTGAACGGCTGTCCAAATTAAACGAAACTCCGGCGGTTGACAACTCTGATTCCTGAATCGGTGACTAATGCGAGATGTACACTTGCAACTGACTCACAGTTTTGTTACAAACGTTAATAACAATCGTCCACGCGTTTGATGTATGCAGTTTCTACATACAGTAAGCGCGTGGATGGTTGTTGAAACAGAATCTCCGTGGTTGGTGTATGCAGCTTCTGCATACAGTTACATCGCGTGGCTGTCCAAACCGAACCTCCGACGGTTGACGACCGTAAATTCCTGAATAAATAGCTAATGTGAGGGGAGTCTTGCATTTCATCTTTTAAAACTGTTTCGTCCTTCATTCCCTCCTCTCTCTCTCTCTCTCTCTCTCTCTCTCTCTCCCCTCTCGTTCTCTCTCTCTCTTGACCTTTCCTACTTTGACTTGATCCTTTTGGAAAGATCTTTGCCTTCGATCAAGCATCAAATTTAGAGCAGATTGCACGAGCGCTTGACACCTGTCCCAAGACAATCAGGATTGTAGATTTTGGGACAGGAAATTTCAAATACAATGACTCGTTGAATAAAGATACGCTCCAGATTCCACAGCCCTCTTTTTCGAAAAAAAATTCTGAAAATTTTCCGCTGTGTTTCTTGCAGTGAAAAATCAAGAGGGTAAATCAGGTTTTTTCAATCGGGCGACTGAAATTCCTTCAATCAGAATATTAGTTAATTAGCACCGCTGTACACAATTTCAATTTAATTAGGAAACAAGCTCGAAGTAATCAGTCGCGTAATTGTACTGGGTTAGTGACCTAATTGTTTGTTTTCCATCCGGAAAAGGAGATTTGTGGGATTAATATTTGTGATTTTTTGCTGTCACTGAGATTTATCTGTGACAAAAAAAAAGATGGGAGGAAGTGGAGAAATTAGAGAGGAGGAGCAGCAGAAGGAGGTGCTAGATATCAACGAGTGGCTGCCGATCACGAAATCGCGGAACGCGACGTGGTGGTATTCGGCATTCCACAATGTCACTGCCATGGTTGGTGCTGGTGTTCTTGGCCTCCCCTATGCCATGTCTCACCTTGGATGGTAAGTAACCTATACATACATACACACACACACACACACACACACATATATATATATATAGTTTCATTACTTTCTCACCATCTCTATGAGAAAATAACATATATGATCAATGTTTATATGTTTTCCAAGGGTGGCTCGTTGGTTGCTAATATGAATTCTGGGAGACATATCAAGGGAAAATCTTAAAGATATTATGAAATATAGAGTTAGAATTAAGAATCAAATCTGTGTGTTTTAATCAAGGGATTCTCCTCAGCATTTTTCTAAAGGGATAATTTTCTTTTATTCTAAACTACATCTATCGACAAAAAAGGAAATTCGAACTCAAGTGCAAAGAGGCGAGCACATTGCCTTACCAATTGGATTAACCCACTAGCTTATTTGGGTGAACTTCATTCACAAGATATAATTTTTATTTTCCTTGAATAGCTACGTACCTGGGCTATAGCCTCTTGTAGACAAACTGTACAATCCCTGAGTTGCATTGATGAATGCTCCTAACCGCTTAATCTCGTGTTAAAAAAAAAAAAAAAAAAAACGTAATATTAACACAAAGAGCGAGGACACCCCCATCTAATAAGTTTTTATGTGTTTCTTGTACTAGGGGCCCTGGAGTTGCAGTGCTGGTTCTCTCGTGGATAATTACACTCTACACCTTATGGCAGATGGTAGAAATGCATGAAATTGTACCTGGCAAGAGGTTTGATAGGTACCATGAGTTAGGGCAACATGCCTTTGGGGAAAAGCTAGGGCTTTACATTGTGGTGCCCCAGCAACTGATGGTGGAACTTGGAACTTGCATAGTTTATATGATTACAGGTGGCAATTCCTTGAAGAAGATTCACAGCACTGTGTGCCCTGACTGTAAGCCTATCAAAACCAGCTACTTCATCATGATCTTTGCATCTGTTCACTTTGTTCTCTCCCACCTTCCTAGCCTCAATTCCATTGCTAGTGTTTCTCTTGCCGCTGCTGTCATGTCATTGAGGTGTGTATATATATTTCTTTCTTTTTCTTTTTTTTAACTTTTTTAGGGATCTGCTGTTTGCACTCAGGAAAGGTTTACCCGCTCTCTTCCACTTTGTAAAAAATTGAAGAGTAAGAGTAGTGCAGAATGACGTTTTTGAAGTTCTAATAACAATTCTGTTTTTGAAAAGATATATGCAACTCCACCTGCTTGACGAATCATATTGGCAAGAAAAACTTACATGAACGTGTTCGAAGTAATCCAATTTGGAATGCTCATGTTCGAAGTAATTTGTATTCGGTTAAAAATCAAGAAACTTCTCTTAATCCATTTAGCGTAAAACTAAAAAGGTTCAAATTCCGTCTGCCTACAAATTAATCTGCAGAATTTGGTTAGTCGATGTCGTTTTTAACTGTGACTCCTTGTCCAATTCAACAGCTACTCTACCATTGCTTGGGGAGCTTCTCTGCACAAAGGGGTGGAGCCACAAGTGCAGTATGGTCCCAGGGCTTCAACCCCTGCAGGGAATACGTTCAACTTCTTTAGTGCTTTGGGAGACGTAGCTTTTGCTTTTGCTGGCCACAATGTGGTTTTGGAGATTCAAGCAACGATTCCTTCCACGCCTGAAAAGCCGTCCAAAAAACCAATGTGGAAGGGGGTCGTTCTTGCTTACATTGTGGTCGCAATGTGCTATTTCCCTGTGGCTCTCATCGGATACTGGGTGTTTGGAAACCACGTCGAGGATAATATCCTCATATCATTGGAGAAGCCTGCTTGGCTTATCGTTCTTGCGAATTGCTTTGTTGTTGTTCATGTCATTGGAAGTTATCAGGTACACTACTACTTTAAATTATGATCTGCATAAAAAATCTGATGAGTTGGTGTTTTTTCTTGCATAACAAGTTTCGTCAATGCATATATGTAGGTCTACGCAATGCCGGTGTTTGACATGGCGGAATTATTTCTGTTGAAGAAGATGAAATTCAAGCCATCTTTGGTCCTTCGCTTCGTAACACGAAATGTGATTGTTGGTAAGTAGCATTTTCCTGCTCATTTATTTAATCTTAAACTTGTAATGACTTCATACATAAGTCCTTACATTGTAAGAGATGTGATCAACAATGTAAATAATATCGATACTCATATTTGCGGATGCAGCATTCACCTTGTTCGTTGGAATTACATTCCCGTTCTTTGGCGGGCTTCTTGGTTTCTTCGGAGGATTTGCATTTGCTCCTACAACATACTATGTAAGGAATCATTGCCCAAGCTTACAATAACTCTCTATTCCCACGTAAATTAAAGCGTCTGAACTTTCTTTTTTCGATCATTTTGCAGCTCCCTTGCATCATGTGGCTTATCATCTACAAACCAAAGAAGTTTGGCCTTTCTTGGTTTGCAAATTGGGTAAGCTTGGCACTCAAGAAAGCGAACTTTTTTTCTTTTCTTCACATACTTTCGTTTTTGAAACTAACAATTTTGTGCTGCTTGTTGCAATGACAGTTCTGCATCATAGTTGGAGTGTCACTGATGCTTTTAGCTCCGATCGGGGCATTAAGGAACCTCATACTTCAAGCGAAGAACTTCAAATTCTACTCTTGAATATCTGCAGCGTGAGATTGAGTTCGAGTTTACACAACAAATAGTATTATTATTATTTTTATTTTGGTAATCAGCCAATTGTTTAATTTTAACTTTCTTTAATAATATTAGGACCTGCTTATTGCTTTGTATAATTTAGCATCTGTTCATAGCCTGTTTGATGGATATACAGTTCAATTTCAGACCCTCCCTTGTTGTTAATGGGAAACGTTTCAACAGCATTGCCTTGAGCTCCATCATTCATATTATTTTTTCGATTCAATCTAATTCGTTATGTGAAAAGAAAATTAAACCTAATTGTACAACAAACCTCAAGTAGGACGCATTTATGCGAGAGATGTAATCAACTTGCTACATTTAACTCTTATACGATAGATTCAAGGCCAAGTCCCAGCTGCATTGCCGATCGGCATGTAGTCAAGCCACGTACGCATGGTCACCAAATTGCCGTCTTGTACAATTTGCACTAAGTTTGCCACCGGGCTGCACAATGCCCATGGAGGAGACGGCTCCCTAATGGCGTAACTCAGGTTCGCCGGGGCTATGGAGTAGATGGCTATTCCACTCTCGATCAGTCAGTTCCAGCAAACCATGGATCGGTCATTTCCCCCAGCACATACAACCAGTATTCCATGCTCGACCCGTTGCTGAAAATGCAGCAATGGGCACAGAACTTGCTTGGACAATAGCAGCAAGAAATTCAGAGGGTTCAATCCCCTGATTGGTAAACGCCAGTCCTGGTCAAGCGTGTGGTATAGGGCCTTGAGGAAAATTCTATACGCTTCGCAGCAAAGCGCGCCTGAAGAACTGGTAAATTCTACCATTACAAACATTGTATACCATTTGGAAGCAACAAAACATAATAATAGTTGTGATCGGTGGGAGCAATTCACAATCGAACAACATGAACAATATAAAAACGGAAGCCTTGACAAGAGTAGGGATTTCATTTCGATTAAAAGCGTACTTAACATCGTTAATTTGAAGTTCAAAAGCTAATATCATCACTCACACATAATTCTAACAGAGCTCGATTTCGATCAACGACAATGTACCAATTACCTAACCAACCAACCAAGCTCTTCTTCATCAAACCATGTAGTTATAAACCGTAAACCCAAAGCCCGAAACATGATCATAAACCCTAATCTCTGGAGGACGTAACAACCGTGATCATGTTCGGAATAAGCACAAATTCATAAGTGAAAAGCAATTCTCCAGCTTTGAGTACCTTCCAGCTCCCGCTAGACATTTGCAGAGCATAACCCTCGTTCGCCAACTGCCCCACCGAAATCAAATTCCGCACCAAACCCGGAATGTGCTTCACATTGTGGATGATCCAACTCGCCCCGCCCGGCAACTTGACCCGAACGTCGCCTTTCCCGACAATGTCCAGCGAACTGTTGTTCAGGCCCAAGTAGGCCTTGCCGTAGTTTCCGGCGGTGTACTTCTCGAAAATCCCCTTGTGCGGCGAGCAGTGGAACTCGGCGGCGGTGCTGAAGATCCAGGATTCAAGGGGGCTGTCGACGCTGAGAAACAGAGCGTCGTTGATGACTTCGATGGTGTCTGCGGCACCGACGTTGTTCTTCAGCAGCCTGCAATCTTTGTGGGCGTGATCGAGCTTCCCACAGTGCGAGCATGCGTCTCCCCACTTTCCGAAGCCAGATTTTCCGAGATCGGCCTCGATTTTTATGCCGCTGTTGCTTGATTCCATATTTGCTTTGCCTCTCGTTCTCTCTCCCCCTTTGCCCTTTGTTTTGGTCCCTTGAAAAAACCCTAGGGACGGGTCATGGTCCCATTTATAGGAGACTACTAGGGATTCTTTTTATTTTATTTTATTAATATTTGTTGGGCTTTTGGGGATCGACTAGTGAATTTCTTTGGTCTATTTGTTTTGGATTGGGTTGTCCTTTAATAATTTTTTTTTTAACAGGACTACTAAATGAGTAAATGGTATTAAAAATGAGATTAAATTGAGAAAATACTATTTTTTTTTTTACTTACAAATCTCAACGATAAAAAGTTGACCTACTCACTAGCCCGGATTATTCAAGACAAACCCTTAGTGAAGAGATAAATTTAAATGTAATAAGGACACAATAGTGAATTTCTTCTAATCCTGTCACAAATCACCAATTTAGTGCAAAGAGATTCATTAATTGTTGAATAAAGTAAAAGGTCTCACATCGATCATCTCACAAGATTGTGGGTGCAAAAATTAAGGCTCAAGCAATGGGCCACTTCCCATGAATCCTAAATTTAGGGGAGTGGAGCTAGAATAAAGGAGCATGATCGGATACTTCCATGAAATGTGAAACATGGAGAAATACAAGGAAAGTGGGACTTGGAGCCTAAGATTTGAATGCCCAGCATAGGGGTTTTTGGAAAAGAAAAAAAAAAAAGTATCAGGGTACCATTTTTTTTTTTTAAACAAGTGATATTATCTACACTAAGAGGATGGGTGGGCTTAGCCTTACAATGAGCTATCCTAATTTATTTTTATGAACATTTTAACCTAAAAAAAGTTAGATTTTGATAGAACCCAGATCCTCTCCGGATCTAAAAAACTAAGTTTAAGGATCAAATGATCTGAGTCGTTGAAATTTGATGCAACAGCTACAATTATTATAACTTTTAGAGGGGCCCCTGTTTGTAGTCGTTGCATCAAATTTCAACGGTCCTGAATCATTTGATCCTTAGGCTCAATTGTTCACCATTAGTCGTTGGATTAAATTTTGACATCTCATTTGGAGATTTTTTAATATGGTTTGGTGTTAGCAAAATTAATACAACATTAAGAAAAATGCCTACGACCCCTCCACTCACCTCTCCCAGTCCCAAGCCGCTTCCAAATGTTGGAGCCCAGAGCAAAAGATGTACTCCACCTCTATCACATTACCGAAGGCCTGAATCCTTATCAAAGATTTAAGTGTAAAAAATGTAAAGAAAGCAAGTTATTATATTTAACTAGCAGAGAGTACACACTTTGTATGTGTGAATAATTTTTTTAATAAGTGCTAAACCCTAAGTACATTTTTTTTAATATTACATAATTATTGTTTTGTCCTCTTTATATAAATATTCTGCATCAAAAGTGAAGGTAAAATTGAAAAAATAAATATAAAAAAAATGATAAAATAAGAAAAATAGAGATATAAATGTAATTTTGTTAAAAGGTACAAAATTATTATTTTACCCTTCTTTTATCAATAATGTGTGAACAAATTAAGAAAAAAAAAAAAAAGTTGACAAGAAAGGTTTTTTTAATAATAGTATAGATAATAATACGGCTAGTGGTGAACAATGACAGTAAAAACAGTACGTAGGTGAGCGGAAACCCGCAAATCAAGAAAAAAATAAAAGAGAAAACCCTTTATTTTGGGTTTCTTTTTCCGTTTCCCATTTTCCCTCTCACACTTTTCTATTTGGTTTTATTTTTTGTTTCGTCTTCCTCCTTTTGCAAATTTTCTTCTATTTTCCTCTTCAAATTCCTTTCTCAGTTGGAGCTGCAGATGTGAGTCTGCTTAAACGAGATAGTATGAATTAGAGGAGAGCAGAAGACGATGACGAAAACAGAACACTGTGTAGAAGAGGGAGTTCGAAACCGAAGTTGCAGAGCCAGCTGTGGAAGGAGACGATATTCATCCGCCTAGAGATGCTGCCTAGCATCGCTTAGACCGCCTAGGGAGAGCCTAGACGGCCGCCTAACTCCCCACCGATTTCTGTAAACGATTTGCCCTAAAGCGCATCGGGCCTCCCACGCTCAGCGCCTGGACGCCGTCCAAGACGATTTTTAGAACACTGGCAGATTATCTGCTTTGCTGCCATTCTTATCCCCTCTTATTTTGTACGATCACGTTAAACCACGTTAACATTTTATATTAATTTTTTTATAAAGATAATAAGATAAAAAATAATAAAAATATAAAATGTTGACATGGTTTAACCATGACTGTACAAATAAAAGGGAATAAAAATGGTATCCAAATAGGAGGGCAAACAATCTACCTTCTTTTAGAACAATATAAATAAATGTACATATAGTAGAGGATGGAAAATAAATAATATATTTTATATTAAAAATCATTTACCTTAGAGGTATTCATCAATTTCTCCCCTGAACTTGTGACCATTAGCCAATTTTCCCCCTCAACTTTAATTTTGGCCAATTTTCCCCCTCAACTCTTATAATTAGTCAATTTCCCCCCTCAACTTTAATTTAGCCTATTTCCCCCCCCTTGACTCTTATAATTAGTCAATTTGCACCCTACTGTTAATTTTTTAATTTGATCATAATTAAACAAGTGTATGTAAGAAGCTAAATAAGATGTATGTTAATCATGTTCCTATATCTCTATCCTATTACAAATAGATTAAAATTTAGAATTTTACAATTTGTCATAGATAGTATTATTAGTCATAATAAATCAGTATGGAGTAATTTTATTTGATTTTTGACTATACATAATTGATAAAGAAAAGGATTGATGTGTAAATTTTTGTATGTGAATACAATTTTCTTTATAAAAGCGAAAGCTAAGTTCAAGTAAATTGCAGAGAATCGAGCTTTAGTGAAAAAATGGCTAGTCTATTCATAATTTTCAACTCCTTATTAAGAATAACCCATTTTCTTGAAATATGTCTGATCCATGAGTTTAGGATTATTATTTCTTTTTGTTATTATTTCTTCTTCTACATGCTTTAAGCCCGATTCATAACTTTTTCTTATAATCAACCCATATCACATACTAATTGTAATATGTTTTTGTACATTTTACCCCATATTATGCAGGTGAGTTTATGTTAATTTTAGTACTTTGTTGGAAGTTATTAGAAAGATTGAAAATTAAGAAAAGAATAGATGGAAAATTAAAATAAAATAAAATTAACAGTAGGGTGCAAATTGAATAATTTTGAAAGTTGAGGGGGGAAATTGGCCAAATTAAGGGGGGAAATTGACTAATTATGAGAGTTGAAGGGGGAAATTGGCCAAAATTAAAGTTGAGGGGGAAAATTGGCCAATGGTCACAAGTTCAGGGGGGAAATTGATGAATACCTCTTTACCTTATGCAATTTATCCGTGCTCCTTACTAAAAGAAGAAGAATAAAATTTTTAAATCCACAGTTATATCCTTATTTCTATATTTCCTTACTTTCCCTTGTCATTTTCAATGAATGTCACATTTGTATGCTCTTAATTTATTTATTTATTTTTGATTTAATTAATAGATTAACTACTTATATGATCTTTAAATTTATGGGTTAGAGTTATAATTTTAAGAATAGTTTATTGTGTTCTTGTTTTATATTAATTATTATATAAGTAAATATAAATTTATAGTACTAATTTCAGCTAGTCCTCTCAAGAAAAAAATTATGGCTCTTAATGTACACAATATGGATAATTCGACATTAAAACGTTATGGATAATTCGACATTAAAACGTTAATATAAACACTAAAGCCTCGTTTGGTAGCTTGGACTGTACTGACTATTTCAATTGGAAATGATAAATAGTCGTCAGATAATACTGACTAAATTAATCCGGCGTTTGGTGCTGCATCGAATTAATCTGTATATCAGATAATATCCGAACTATAATATTTTAAAAAAAATAACAGAATAATTGATGTTAAAATGAAAATTTGATGATAAAATAAAAAATCAAATTTAAAAAAATGATAAAAGATAAAAAGAAGAAAAAAAAAGATAATAAATAAACAATGAAAATCCATTAAACCGACAAAAAGAACCAGAGGAAAGAAGAAACAAACCCAGGTCGCCGCCCGACAAACACCACCGCCACCATACTATTGATAACAGTGGTGGAAATCTCAATTCCTAACAATTAATTCATTGATAAGAATTAATTATGTTTAAGAGTCTGAAAGGGGCTGGGTCAACATCGCACACCTCACCGCGAACGGAGTGAAGAAAAACTTTGCCAATCCAATAAATCAAATTGAGACAAGAGATGAAGAAGAGAGAAGGCTGGTGGAAATCTCAGATCATTGCCATAACTTTCAGTTCCAAATTCAAAGAAGTGGAGGAGGAGACGAAGGAGAAGGGTGGCAATGGAATCTCTGGGATGGCCAATCCAGTCTCTATATTTTCCATTGCTGCACTTGTTAGTCCTTCGATTAGATCCAGTCCATGGGGAGGACTTCACGGACGATGCACAACGAGGGAGAGATTGTTGGACAAAAACGAAGAACCCGACTCATAATACCGAGGTTGTGGAGAGGATATAGATAAGCGGGCGTGTACCGTATAAAATTGGTGGGTCCGGATTAATTATCCGAAAACTATTTAGTACATAAACGCACTAAACAATCGATTTCGTATAATTAGTTATATCCGGTACTCTATACAATGTGCCAAACGAGGCTTAAGATACTGATTGCAGAGCTTGATTCA